CAGCATTAATCACATCACAGCTCCGCACACTCCATCTACCACACGCAGACCTTTCCACTCACTGAGCCTGACGATCTCATACAGATCCTCTCAGTCTCGACAGGAGAGCGACTCCATCCTCCACCTTGGTTGTTAGAAACCACGCTCTTTTATATCCGATTAGCATGCTAGCTAAACACAGATGCCAAAACACATTCCCGCATGCCGAGCTGCGCGCACTCACAAAGCTGCGCTCGTGCCACACACACACAGAGCCCGAGCTTGAATTAAACACTTAGCAGCGCTACTTGTACTGTACTCGGTATACTCATCCATTATCTTCGATGCTCTTACTGTATAATCAGTATACAAACAGATGAACACGATCCGCCACTGGGCTTTCATCTACACACGGCACAGCCACGGTAATGATAACCACGCGTCGGGGGTCATTGGTCAAGCAAACACCAATCAAAGAGCAAGCCAGTGGCAGTGCACACCCTCAGGCTCCGCTCCGTATCACTATATTAATGCTATTCTTTATTTCTGATGTATATATACCACAAAAAACCCTTTAGTGCAAGAAGTTTTCACTTATATCGAATTAAAAAACGCAAAGTGGCAGGCTTCCGCGCCACCCTGCGTTGGCGGGCGCGCGCCTCACAGTACCCTGGGCGGGGCATGGCCCGCGAAGACCCATGACGGACCATCGTCTGAACACAGAAGACGTCTGCTCGACTTGGTTCAGCTGGCCGGCTCTCGCGTTACTATTGGTCAACTGTTAGAGCTGCTCCTGCTCTTTGCCTCTCCCTCGCTGGCGGCGCTGCCAATAGAAGTCGCGAGTGTTACAAAGTGATTATTATGTTCATGAGGTAACATCACGTACTGAACCGTTTAGCGCAGGGGGACACTTGATGGGAAGAGAAACTCCTCTGCGATGAAACATCGTGGGCAAACTTTAGCTTTGCAGACCACTTACATGCACTAAACACATTTTAATACACGGAACACGGAGAACCTTATATGAACATTTATTGAAAACTATAAATAATCAACAACCATGTATCAAGTATCAATTATTAGATCAAAAGTCATAAATAACTGAGATAAAAAGTCATTAATTACTGCAGATAAAAGTCATAATGACGCATAAAAAGTCATAATTCATGGAGATAAAAAGCGAAATACATGACATAAAAAGTCGAATAATGAGAATAAAAAGTCCATAATTATGACTCAAAAGTCATAATATACTGAGATACCAGTCAATAATTATCGACGATATAGAAAGTCCGAAATATATGAGATAAAAAGTCATAATATGAGATAAAAATTCATAATGATAGATATAAAAGTCATAATTGGATATAAAAGTCATAATTATCCCGATAAGACAAGTCGAAATAAATGAGATAAACAGTACAATTATGGATCACAAGAACAGTCGAAAAATGAGATAACAAAGTCATAATTATGAGACTAAAAGCATATAAACTGGCACTACACAGTCATAACTTATGAGATAACCGAACAGTGAATATAAGATAAAAGTTGAAATATGAGATCCAAAGTCTACATTACCAACTGAGATAAAAGCTCATAACTCATGAGATAAAGTGACATGCGCTGCAGTGGCGCTCGTCTTCAAAGGTTTTCTCCTTCATTTGCTGCTCTCACCATGCAAACCGGCATCCTAGTCCTAAATAAGGTGCACTATCTCGGTCTTGCAAACTATTACAGTACGCATCGAAAGATGTCACAATCACGTTTATTCTCTCTTTGCACAATCAATGACCACAACAGTGAAACACGTGTTCCCCTAGTAGAAGCAAGTAGACATTACGCTTATCACGCATCGTTGACACTTTTACCCGCACACAAACAGCAATATAAACATGGGCAAGAGGTCACTGATTGAAGACACACTCTTATCATTTTTCACAAAATAAAACAAAGTTTCAAGCATACATTAAACACATCTTCAAAAAGGACAAAGACAATAATAAAAGGACCTTTGAGCACTCAGCTACATAAGGTAACTATTACAGGTGACTTTTGTAAATGTTAAGATGTTATCCAATATAGGCCTAATTGGCAGCTAACAACAAGCAGTTCAATAGCTTTGACATATACCTGTTATCGAAGCAATACATATGGGCCTAATAGTTTTGTGGTAACGTTCACAGGTTAAGAGTTAGAGCTAGCAGACCTCAGACAGTCGCAGCAGTAATGCCATATGTCCCATTAGTGGCGTGAACGGTTTAACCAGCAAACTATAGGCATATATATTGATAGTTCATAACACGTCATCGTCAAAGCTATGAACTGGCATCTTGTAGTTTTAGCTGGAAATATAGGCTAATATGTCAAGCCATCTAAACATCTTACAAAAAGTCACCTGTAATAGTTAGCCTTATTAGGACTAGATGGCCGTTTGCATGGTGGAAGCAGGCAGTGATGAAGGGACCATTCTGAAGGACAGGCGCCACTGAAGCGGCATGCGATTTATCTCATAATTATGACTTTTATTATTATTTGCTTATTTGACTTTTTTTTTATTTTATGTTTTTATCTCATAATTCGATATTTCATCTCACCATTAGCATTTTTACTTCAATAATTTCGACTATTTTAATCTCATAATTATGACTTTTTATTATTACTTATCGTTTTTCATTCACACTTTATTATGAACTTTTTATATAATTTCGACTTTTTTATCTCATTATGACTTTTCATGGGGGTTTAATTTTTTTAAGTGCGGAAATGGCTTCCATACTTAGAAAAACCACACATACGGCTTTTCAGCAATAATTGTTTTAGGAATGATCATGGTTCGATATTTGATAAATACGCAACGTTG